GACCACATGCTGCTTTGGCGACTCGTCAGAAAATCGCAGAGCTAGGCTGGGAAATTCTGTCGCATCCACCATACTCCCCAGACCTAGCACCCTCCGATTATCACTTGTTTCTCTCTTTGCAAAACTTTTTACAGGAAAACAAATTCAAAACCGAAGCTGATGTCAAGCAAGCACTAGTCGAGTTCTTCGCCTCTAAAAATAAATTATTTAAAAAAAATGACATTTACAAGTTGCCATCACGCTGGCAAGAAGTCATAAGCAACGATGGAAAGTATGTTCTACGATAAATATTATTAAATGTATGAAAATTGTGTTATATTTCAACTCAAAAATAGACAGAACTTTCCGGTAGACCTAATAAATACTCCATCATTTTTCTTCAGCTTGTAAACAAAAATGAAAAATTTTGAGAGAGTAGATACGATCGCGGCTCAATTTTAGAGTTGCCGATTGTCAACAATTATAAAAACGAGGTACAGAATAATCGAATAATCGTGTCTTCTGTTCCCAAATTGTTCATTTTTGTTTACAAACTGAAGGAAAATTAGGGAGAATTTACTGTATTTTGGAACGCGAATAGATCAAATAGGTAACATAGTCGCCGAATTAAAATTGTGAAATGAAGAAAGTTTGAACAGAATCAGTGATCTATCGCGTCTAATCTTGAGCTGATGTGTTTAAGCAGTCTCATAAGATATAATCGAGAGGATTAAATTCTTAGGAACGTACAATTTTATAAAACATATGTTACGCGTTCATTTTGACACGTTACTTTTCGTCAGCCTGTTAATAATTTTAATAATTTCGACAGCCTGTTAATACAGGAAAAAAAATTCAAAACTGAAGCTGATGTCAACCAAGCACTAGTCGAGTTCTTCGCCTCTAAAAATAAATCATTTTTTAAAAATGGCATTTACAAGTTGCCATCACGCTGGCAGGAAGTCATAAGAAACGATGGAAAGTATATTCTACAGTAAATATTATTAAATGTATGAAAATTGTGTTATATTTCAACTCAAAAACGGAGAGAACTTTCCGGTAGACCTAATAGATTTGCATACAAGCGCGTGCCGTCCGCACGATAAACTGCTTCATTCGAAAGTGTTGATCTTTCCCAATGTTTACGTTCGACAGTTGTGCCCGGCTTTCTGATATTCGTCGGGCGTAATAGATTCAAAAATTGCGGAGATCTATCGTCGCGTGAAAATAACGGAATAACAAACGTTATTTCTTGCCGAACGACCGAAATTCGGTCAATCGCATTCGTATTTGATCATCTGGAATCGCGATCGTTCGATTTTATCGAGTTTTCCGGTGATACGGTAGCATTAGATTGAAATATTTGATTCGGAGGCTTATGACTCTTATTAATCGTTACCTCGCGTACATACAGTGCCGCGAAAAAGTATTGCCACGCTCCTTTAAATTGGATCGAACGTTTTGAATTATTTTCAGAGCTTAAAAGAGCTATAGCTATAGAGGTCTAAAGGCTATGGTCTAAAGAAGTTTCTGCAAAAATTGCGATTCATTGAACCGACAAAATAAATTTTGAAATTACAATTGTCAACTCTTTTTAACATACGTGAACGTAGAACGAAAATTTAAACAATGCATTTTTCATTGCTCGTCGATGATATTTTCGTCGACATCGGCTTACATCAAGAAGCTGGGGAATGTAATGCTTTCTTTTTAATTTTCCTCAATCATTTTATCCAACTGCAATGCTAGCAAAATTGTTTCTACACATTTGTCATTGCAAGTGAATTTTACGTATTTAAAACAAAAATCAAATCGACCAAAAGTCATCTGGTCGAATTTGAGAATGGTTATTCCGTTTCGAATTCTGTGTGCCAATACTTTTCCACGGCGATGTATGTGACTCTAAAATGATTTTACAATTCAAATTAGAAATTCGATGCCCTTATGCATCAATTTAGTTCTTCTTATTTTAGTTCGTGCGAGCTGTTATTCTCACTTCCACGAAAATTCTTTACTGCACACGCGATAAGACGACCCATTATCTATGATCCTAAACTGTATAATAGTACGTAGATTGTGAACATTACGCAAACTGCAATGAAATAAAGATGGCAATGAAGTTCAACACTGCACGTAGCTGGCTTTACGAGCACAATAAAACTCTTATTACAAAGAACTAAATTATTGTATAACCGCGTTTCTTTATGACATATTAATGCCCGAGATTACGAACTTACGGAATCGCCTCGAATTGGATTGTTGCAACGTAAACCGTGGTTTCGGTGCTGCAACTTTGGAACGATGCTTGTGTTGTTGTTTAATGCGCGGTTCGTGTTTATAAACGAGAATCATTTAAATTTACACAATATTGTTATCAACATTAAACCTGCCGAGCACTAAAAATGTTTGACACATGTTGCTTCACAAGAATTACAAGACTGAATTTATTTAGGCTTTTCATCATTTTTAATAATAATGTATGCTTGAATTGAAAAATTATTGAATCATTTTCTATAAGAGAGTTTTTATCATTTCAACAATCTTACAATAAAGATAATCTATTTTTCCGCTAGATACAAGAACTACTTGTCCTGTGTTT